TCGTGGTTGAGGTCCGGCAGGGAACACTGGGCGTGGATGGTCGTGGTTGAGGTCCGGCAGGGAACACTGGGCGTGGATGGTCGTGGTTGAGGTCCGACAGCGAACACTGTGGATCGCGAGTCGCAGTTGAGCAAGGACGAGGAGGACGACGAGGACGACGAGGAGGACGAGGAGGAGGAGGAGAGGAGGACGAGGCAGGAGGAGGCGGAGGAGGAGAAGGAGGAGGAGGAGAAGGAGGAGGAGGACGAGGAGGCAACTGACATAAAATCTAACAACCCTCACCTGGCAGGTGGGGAACAACATGAATCTGGGCAAATTATAATAATTCACAAACCTGAATTAAGGCCATTTGGGGATGATTTCCCTTATTAAACATGATTCCCAGTGAGGGAGAACAGTGAGGTCGTTATGATTTGCCCAGATGAATAAGCACGATGGGATGACTTATTCATGTTGATTTCATCTGGAATCTGGATCAACATAGATCAACATTAGCCTCTGGTAAATTAACAGTTCGACCCTGGCAGTCATCGGGGTTGGAAGACGAATTTCCATTAAAAATTGGTGATTTTCAGGGTCCAACTGTTTATTTACCAGAGGGTAACACATATCTTAACCCATGATCTTTTTTCTTGTAATGTGGTCAAAACGAGAAAAACATAAACCATCCCCCAGTCATCACCATTTCTATAGGTGGTATGTTTACCATTCCCAAATGGGTGGTTTATGACATTGTTTTAACCACATTAATCAACATTATCAACTACCAGAGATTAAAATTATACCACATTATACCATTAATATACGTATGGGTTGATTATGGGTTTATAATATATGGGTACATAGTAATCAACCTTATTAAGCCATATCTGATTGGTGGTTTCAACCCTTCTGAAAAATATGAAAGTCAATGGGAAGGATTATCAATGATTATCAAATATATTATGGAAAATAAAAAATGTTCCAAACCACCAACCAGATATATTCTACCGCACGAGCAAACTAAGAGAATTTACGGTGTCGGCCGCCTGGTGCAACCAATGCAAGGCGTTGGCGCCGGAGACCAAGACTTTCGCCGCCCAGGCGGCCTGCCGAATGCGGTGATGTTTTTCGGAAATTCCATGGGGGGAATATGGGGATAATATGGGGATAATATGGGGATAATATGGGGATATGTTATGAAATGAGTTTTTTTTTCTACATATATACCTACACTAAATTATCTTGGTAAATCTGAGTAAATCTCAGTAAATATGTGTATCTAAAATGTTTTAGTATCTCAGTAAATCTTGGTAAATCTTAATTAGTCGTAATCTTCCTAAATCCTAGTCCTTAGTCGCCCGCAATCTCATTGTAATGCGTGTGCGAAGGTTAAATACTGATTGCATATAGTAAAGTTGAAATAGGAAGAAACCGGTTTTATTTGCCAACGAAAATATTGCCTCATATATTGCAATACTGATTAAAACTTGACCCCAAATACAACCACAAGCTTCCCTACAACCTGCTCTTACCCTCACGCGATTTTTTTTGCTTCCACCATAAACATCACAATTTGGGGGGGTTGACCACTGTTTTGTTTGTCAAACCTGCTTTCCTTCTGAATGAAAGCCCCAGTTGTTGCTGGTTTGATCGTGAAGGCAGATTGTTTAATGGTAAGACCCTATTGTTTGATGATCAAACCCATTGCCCATTGTTCGATGTTTTGACCCAAATGGTTTTGATATTGTTTGTCGATGAACCTCCATTTTTTCAATGTTGAGTGGTTTCACCAATTCAACTCCGATTTTTCATGATTCCCCTGCAAACTAAGATAGATGTGGAAAATCAATTTTTTGTTAAACCCTCCAAAAAAAAACTATGTTCCACATCTATGTTAGCTTAACCCTGTTGTTTGTCACATTAAACATCATTAAACCACACTAAATCCCGATGTTTCCTTCGCTGTTAACCGCTGCGCCTGTTGTAGGCGCCAGCCGCGCTCCGCGCACCACGCGAGTCCCTCGGGGCGTTGCTGCACCGGCAGAGGCACGCGCCAGGCACGTTCCATGACCAGCACACCGGCGCCTGGATACTGACGAGTTGCAGGCTGGCTATATATGGCTTAATATGGTTTTAATGTATGGTTTAATATGGTTTTATATGACTTAATGGCTTATAAAGCCATGGGAAATTTAACCCGTCTTCGACAACCATGGTTTAAATATGGTTTTAATGGGTAAATATGATTTTATAGTGTTTAATGTCACATGTTCTTTTTGTCTCTTATCTCTGAAAAACTGATACCCTTTGGTAACCATGGTTTAATATGGCCTTATAGTGTTTAATGGAAATAAATACAAGCTAATGTATCATGGGATAATAGTGTAGTATCCCGATTGGTGTGGGGATACTGTGTTGTGTCAAGTTTTCCAAAAAAAAACTGAATCAGTGTAATTGTTGGGGTGGTACGGTGTTGTGGCAACTTTTTTTTTTCTGAGGCCATTTTGTTTCCGGCATTTTGTTTATTTACGTGTTTCACCTTTGTTTTTTTCACTAGTGGAGTGTGTGTTTTTCCATTTTATTAAAAACATAATTAATGAATTAATGAATACGTGCAACATGTTTTTGAACATACAAAAAAATATAGGATGCCTTATTAAAACCCAATTGGAAAAAACAGCACCCAAACATTTTTTAAAGGGGCACCCCATCAGCAAGATTGATCTTCAATAGTATGTTTGTTGTGGTGGTCCTCTATGTGTCAAGCTTTTTTTGAAGTGTTTTTTCTCCAAAATCCTTCTCTCCTTTCCTTTTCCTTTCCTTTGCTAAAGTTGTTCTCCTTTTACTTTCTTGCCTCCATCTTTTGGAATTCTCAATGGCGTAATAAGGATAATGATGGGAGAATGATAGAACAATATGGAATAATAATGGGATAATTCGGGATAATGTAAAACATGATTATAGACATTGTTTTGAATGATTGCAATGGGACGAACCTATGTAAAACATGAATCACATGGAATCACCGGTTATCTAATGTGACATGTTTTGTGCACAAAACAAACCATAATCCATAAGGGAAAGAATAACAAGGGTTGGAATGGCTTTAATGGCTACAAGATCTGCAAGATGGGTTACAATCCGTTTATGATATGATGTAACGAGTTGGTGTCATGAAGACTTTTGTGGTATCAATCCAACCAAAAATTGGACATCATAGGAATACACCGGGATTTACAAATTAAATTGTTTCATTTTGATGGAAACTTCTAAAGTTGAAAGCATGAGTTTTGCCGTTAAACATGTTTTTCCTGTAAATGTTCATTTCGTCCAATTATGGGATAGGCAAAATGCATGGCAAACCTTGGGTATCACGGGCAATTCTGCTTGTGGTGATAAATGCCAAATGTTGTACATAACCATATCGTCCCAACTTTTTATTGCGAAGCAGCAATTTGGGATACAGTAAGCAGTGTTCATGACATTAATACATAACCACAGGTCTACAACGACGGTTCTGATCTATTGTACTTCGATACCATAAGTTAAGCATTACACTCACTACATCCCACTACGAGGTATAGTAGCAGCTTAAAGTTTTAGCAGCGGGATAGATCCTTTCTTCCCATGGTTGAAAGAGTCGTCACCTACCAACCACGAGGAGCATAAAATGGTCTGGAAATCTCCCTCCGTAATGATGGCCCCTGGTGCTATCACCATACCTGGCAAAACCATGGTTTTTTCCATCACGACTCTATCTTCAACCAGTCCTATCCGCCCAGTTAGATGCTTGGAGGCTCAGTGGAGGCGACCGCAGCTAGCAGTCTCCAATATTGCAGCGTGTCCCAGCTAGCATCCGCAGCAACATCCGCAAATTTTAGATGCCCTGCATTTTTGATCATTTTTGTAAGCTGATTTGATCAAACAAAATCAAGAACATTCAAGAACTAAAGTATACTAAAGTCCCGTCCAAGGTCTACCCTGTTAACAATCCTGCGATTAATCATATTAATTTCCCCCATCAATCAAGAGAAAATCTACGGGAAACCATGTTTTTCCAAATGTATAGGTTTCCTGCACCTGTTACACTGTTGCCATCATCAAATTCATGTTGCCCCCATCAAAAAAAAACGGGCGCCTGGTTCCAGAATCACCTTGCCCTTCGCTGTTCGAAGAGTTTCACCCGCGTAGCGGTAGGCTGCATGGTAGGCCTGCGAACTGGTGGAGGTTTTCAGGTCATGGACGTGGTAGTTTCAGCAACCAGAGATGGAAAAAAAAATATATATATATATATTAACATGGCGTGAAATGAACATATATATTAATATATAACCATTTTCCAGGTACAAATCTGGGATGAACGAGTGTAAATTAAGTGTTTATATACCAAACTAATTCTAACATCACTTTGCAAATTTGCCTTGGAACGCAAAGGAACAACAAAAAAAAACGCCTCGGCCTCCCTTTTGAGGCAATATTCGAAGCAGCTGGTGTGTGAGAGTTACGGATTAAAGTAGTAAATACCCTCTGGTAAACTAACATAGCTATTGAAAATGGCCATTTATAGTGGGATTTTCCCATTAAAAATGGTGGATCTTTCCATAGGCTATGTTAAATTACCAGAGGGTAAATATTCGGATTAAAGTGGCAAAGCAAAAAAAATGTACAAAACCACCCATCCAAGCTTTACCCGGATTCCATTCAACGGTTTAGAAAATCATGCCTCCCATTGTTATCATTGTTGAATAGCCATAAAATTGGTTTCCCCATCTTTTTTGAAGACGGTCTTCTTCGGATTTCAACTTTGACTCTTGATTTGTTCATGTTTATGCTGCACTTGTGCATTCACAAAAACTTGGTGGAATGCGTCACACTGGCAAATCTGTAGCATTCCTGCACCCAAAATCTCCACACAATCCAGAATAACGGGACATAAGCGGTATCACGAATCATCATGCTCGTTGTTGAAGATAGCAGCTGATACTTCAACCAACCTCAACAAATCAACCAACTACGATTCACACAAGTATTTCTCCGAAAATCACCGAAAATCCTGCCACAACCAACCCCAACCCATCCTCAACCCATCCCCCTGGGGATGCGACCAGCACGTTCCTATGCGGCTTCCGCAGCAGCGGCCGCACCGCCCGCAGCTCGCGGTGCCAGCCCCGCGCCGCGGCCGTCGTCGCCTTCAACGCCACCGGGCGGCCGCCGGGCTGCACGACGCCCAGGTAGACGCAGCCCGTGGAGCCGGAACCCACTGCCTCTGCCTGGTTGCACAAATGCACGACATAATTGAGCGATTGTGAAAACCCTAGGTTCACGGAAAGGACATTCACAAATTTGGGAAGGTCCCATCGCTTACCACACGTTTGTACAATAATGATATATGGTAAACTTGGGGGGTATCGCTTGTAGGAAACTGCTGTATTTATATATATATATATATGATGAACTATGAATAATATGTGATATTTGGGTATCGCTAATGTGGATATTAGAGAAATATGATGACATAACCTTGAAAAGGGGTATCGCTAATTTGGGAAGGTCCCATCGCTTACCTCGTGTTTTTAGCAATTTCCATCAATTTCCATAAGCCAATGTCCGTCGAATACATATTTAGTATTGCCGGGGTTTTTACGGTTGCTCAATTATGGCTTGACAGAAAAGAATGACATTCCTTTAGGAATTTCAACATGACAGTGTCTGCATCAGTGCAGGCAAAGTATAGCCTCAAGTGTCATATTTGTGCTAAACGTAGGGAATGAGGGAATGATCCACAATAACTATCAATAATCATCCCAGCAACCCCCAGCAACCCATCCATTCCCTACGTAAAACGCACCAGTAAGTAAAGTAAGATTGTTAAAAACAATCATTAACCACTATTAACCACTATTAACCACTATTAACCATCATTAACCAATATCAAGAAACTTTCCCTGCCCCAAGGACCCCAAGGACCCCAAGGACCCCAAGGACCCCAAGGACCCCAAGGACCCCAAGGACCCCAAGGACCCCAAGGACCCCAAGGACCCCAAGGACCAAGGCACTGTGAATTCCACCACGCCACAGCCGGGCACATCCAGGCGCAACATGGCAACGCCCAGGCCGCCGGGCCCCGCAGGCCCGGGCCGGCGACGAGAGAGGCATTGGTGACCCCGGGTGACGAAAGGTTGGGCTACTTAGATGCTATACCAGACTTAACTATACTTAGATGGGCTATGGGATTAACTATATAACTAGTTAGTAACTGGGGATACATATATATATAACCCCCTATATCCCAATGAAATAATCCATTTACTAACTAGTTAACTAACTCCATGGCCCATCTAAGTAGGTGGTTAGGATGTGTTTGGATCACACGTAATTTTACGTATCTTTCATGATTTGACGCATTTGCAGATTGAAAAAACCTAGCAATTTTTAGAAGAGTCTCGGGAAAGGTTCGAAGTCACCCACTTATCACTTAGCCCTCTGAGAAACTAACATAGCTATTGAAAATGGCCATATTTATAGTGGATTTTCCCATTGAAAATGGTGATTTTCCATAGCTATTTTGACATAACCAGAGGGTAGCCATCTGAGAAATATTCAAATCTCATGAGATCAATGTGCCCATGCTGCACCTGTGGGCGGCGCAGAACTGGATTTGGACAACGTGCGCCACCAAATGGAGATGTGTCAAAATGGATACACCACAGAATAGTCAAAACATGTCAAAACATGTCAAATGATCCATCTGATAGAATCTATGATTAAATCATGTTCTACGTTGTTTTTTGTGCAAAATCAGTGTGAAACAGTTTGAAACCATAAAATAGAATTTGTCTTCAGTTTTCTGTGGGTCTTGAAATCTGACCCATCCCAAAATCTGCACCTGAGGGCCTTGGAGGCAAATCTTGTATGGGGCCAGGGCTGTCCGGTATCCTCCCCTTTTTTTGTACCAAAAAAAAAGACAGAAAAGTAATGAAAAGTAGCACTACTAGTAGGATTTCACTTTACTATCTACTAAGTAATCTACTATCTCTTTGGGTTCGCGAAACTGGTCACATTTAAGCGGACAGCAGTACCCATGACGGATCCATGGTGCTGCTATATATGGTGTGCCATGGATCCCATCAATATACCCCCTTTATGTTAGCATATATACCAGCACCATGGATCCGTCATGGGGTATGATTACCCTCTGGTAAACATACAAAAAGCTATTGAACATGGCCCAGTCGAAATAGTGGATTTACCCATGAAAAATAGTGGATCTTTCCAGATTTTCCATGGTTTTTTGTATGTTTACCGGAGGGTAAATCTCCATTTTCCTATGGTTTTCCTATGGTTTTCCTATGGTTTTCAGATCCAGATTGAATCTTCACCATCTCCGCAACTGCCATGGACTGCCCAAATTTTACATTTTTCTTGACGGGCAGATTCGTTGGACCCAGCAATTCAATGGAGGTTTTAATGGGAAAACCATGGGAAAACCATAGGAAAACCCATAGGAAAATGGAGGTTTACTCTCTGGTAATCTGTTACATAGCTATTGAAAATGGACCATAGAAATAGATATTTATATAGTTGATTTACCTAGTAAAAGTGGTGATGTTCAACAGCAAACTGTAAACGTTTACCAGAGGGTATCATGTTATTCCAATCATGTCACCATTGTTGCGCTGGAAACCTCATGAGGGAAACGCCCCACACATTTCATTCCAATCCTGGATTGGTCCCGTGTAAAAACTATGTGTTTAGCTGGTTGGGCTAGGCTGATATGCATCATTAAATTTGCAAACAAACAGCTCTGACAGTTGTCCGGTTTCCGATTTACAATGTGATGTCCATCTGCTTTCTGGGTTCATCCGCCAGTTGCTCTGCACAAATTCAAGTCACCAACCAAAAAAAACGGAAAATGACACGTGTACGGTCAGCAAACGTCAAAGTCTGCTTCGTGCCAAGCCCTGCAGCCCAAAAAAAACACAGATCAAATTGTAGTCCAGTTCAATTGATCACCAGCGAAAATCTCACCGTATTTTAACATCACACTGTTCAAACTCAAGCTGGCAATTTCCCGTAACAACAGCTCTCCAGCCTTTTTTTGGCAACTTCGCGCAGAGCTTCGCGTCGCCCGCGTCGCCCGCAGTCTGCGGTTCACATGGCAGGCCCTTTCCACAGCACCTGGCAGGTTGTTTTTGATGCACATGGCCTGCCGACTGCTGGCAGAAAGCCGCAGCAATAGGAAAAAACAACAGGTAACGGTATAAACTATTTGTCCAAGAAAAGTGGGTATACCATAATAAATAGATATACCGTAAGTATATCATTGCGATTTTATGTAATTTCACGGGGTTTCATTCTGGTTTAATCATCCAGCTTTCGACAAAACTCAGTACATCAGCCAGGATTGAGCTGGCGCCCGAACCACTTCTCAGGTTCTCAGGCTCAAGTGTTGCACAGTAGATCAAACCCTAGCCCTCTGGATCCAAACACTATCTGAGAAGGTACTTAAGCCTCCAAAGTATCGTAAATGATACCCCAGTCCCACTTCCGAAGAAGGTACGGCTGGATCCATAGGGTAGTACCCTCCACCCGCAAAATCGTTGATCTAATGGATGGTCATCACCGCAAATCTTTGGCCCATGTGTTTTCTGTTGTCTGACGTGTTTTTCCCCGAACATGTCACCGCTTTGGATTCATTACCCTCTGGTTATTTAACATAGCCATGGTATAGATGGCCCATTTATAGATGGTTTACCTATTAAAAATTGTGATTTTCCATGGCTATGTTAAATAACCAGATGGTAAATCCAATCCTCTGAGTCAAAAACCCTTTACGCATAGTGCCATAGTGAACATCAGAATAGCGATGCTTGAACTCCCTCATGCCAGCCACAATTTTACCATAACTGGGTGGTAACCAGACCAGTCAGTAAAGGTGCTTCACTGTTGTATTTTACCAACATTAATAGGTTTGACCCATCCCCAAATCTTTCTCAAATACCTATGGCCTCCCAAACACCATTTATCTCGTTCTTCCCGGGCCATTGCTTCAATGGAGTGGTTTTGTGGCCAAAATCTACGGGAAACCCTGAGTGTTACCCCCAAAAAATAGTGCCATTTTTTCGGATTTCCTGCAGATGTTCCGATCAATTCTAAACTTTGGAAAGTTGCAAAAGTTGCCAACCCAATGATAAACCTCCAATTGGAGGTTTACTATATGTTCGCCCACTGAAAAATGTTTGCGGTGTCAGAGATCATACCTCAAGCACCTTTACCAATATCTGTGGCCAGAACCGGTCAATAGCATTGAAACAAACCAATATAGCACTGGGAATGGGATTGCTTGATAAACACTGGAGCTTACTGTGGTTACTAGTTTCCACTTGGAATAGATTAATAATCATAATCTGATTTTTTTCCATGTAATTTCCAATTGTTGATTATCCCATTCGAACCGCACTATATCACCATTATTGTTGGTTAAATTGCGCGCTCAATAAACCTTAATCCCATCCCCCCCAATATTTATAACACTCCATACAATAAGGCCACAAGTAAATGGTCCCAAAAAAATGGTGTATCCCATACGTCCAACATATCAACATGATTTCTTGGGGTTGTTTAATATTAATGGGGGCAGGGATTCCTGAGATGATCATCCTTAGAATTGATTATAAAATATCATCAATAAGGAATTGAGAGACCCAGTAACCATTGATAAACCCAACAATAATCTTTTGAGGTACTAAGTAATCCCCTTCCCCTAAGGGTGATTAAGGGTGATTAAGGGTGATCAAATAAATGATGAGAATGTACTGTAATGGGAAATGATGAGAATATTCATGGGGATATGATATATGTGGGAAAATTATAATATTTCACTAACCTGAATTAAGGCCATTTGGGGATGATTTCCCTTATTAACTATGATTCCAGTGAGGTCGCAGTGAGGCCGTTATAATTTACACACACATATATATATAAACCATTATATTAACCATTCTAAGATCATCCACCATTCCTGCGACTACCGTGGCTTTAGGGCTGGCGCCTCACCGTCGCACAGCAAAGGGCCCAGCCAGCTGCCGTGGATTAGAGCCACCTGCCGTGCGAGAATTCCGTATACCCATTAAAATGTATGGAAAATAATGGAAAATCACCATTTATTCACAGGTAAATCACCATTAATGTTCACCTACGATTGTAAACTCACCCTAAATAAAGCTAACCAAACTCCCAAACTAAATAATAAATGACCCCTAAATAAAGCTACATTTTTTTGGCCCTAAACCCAGATTTGCCCAGATGGGGCTGAACAAAATTGTCCATGCTTCATTTGAGGTGGCTTTTATGTACCAACTAGGTGCTTATCCTAAATGCCTTTGTATGTTGCTGTCATGTGCTGCTGCTATATGCTGCTTCTGATTTAGTCCTCTTCCTTTTAGGGGCAAAGAGGGGGGGGCCTATTGATTAATCAGAGGTCAACATTATATTCATAGGTAAATCATTATTTTTATCGTCGATAAACGAGACCATTTTCCGTAGCTATGTGAAATAAAGCCAACCATTTGAAGGTATGCTGGAATATCTTATGTCCATCCATCATCCGAAACAAATATTCTCTAATTGTATCAGCCAACCATTTGATGGTGCATATTGATGGTATATATATATATATTTATGACATACCCCGATGTATATTATTTATATTACCATCTGGTTATTTAATATAGCCATGGAAAATCCCTTATAAATGGAGGTTTCTAGCTGGGAAAGTCATCTATTTCTATGGGCCATTTTCCATGGCTATGTTAAATAACCAGAGGGTATATAATTCCATGGATTGATCTAAGGGAAACTCTACGGGCTCTAAATGTAGGGTCCGGCCATTTTTGCCATCCTCCAATTCGACTAACTGATTGGTGAGTCCAACCCGAAGAATATGAGAGTCATTGGCAAGAAATATCATTTGCTTGGCTTGTTAGCATTCTCCACTTGTCTTGCTGTTCCGGTGTTTCATATCCCATGGCTTTGCTGTTTAACAAAATTTATAAGTTCCCATTCACCATGGTTTACAATAATTTCCGGTAAGCTCTCATGCTTAGTTATAGGGAGTGAATCATGGTTCATCAAACCTTTCTCATGGTTAAGCAAATTCTCCA